ACCATCAGTTTTTTCCCTTTGAAATCTCTGAGGTTTGGGGATCAGGTCATTTCACGAAGAAAACCCACCCAAAACCCACCTGACTCAATGCCCAGCATGGCCGTCAGCAAAACCCACCCTTGGGATGGTGCAAAACGCCTGGTGTCACTGCCTGTCACTTGGGTGGGGGGACAGGAGAGCCTCTGTGCCGCCCCGGCAAACACCCAGCCCGCACCCAGCCGCCTGCTGGCGAGGGGCACCTGCTGCCACCCACTGCACTGGGAGGGCAAAAGCAGCCAGTTTTTTATCTGCAATTTGGCACCCAGCCCCGGCTCGTGGCAGAGACCCCCCAGCCTGAGCCCCCAGCAACCGGCTCCTTCCTCCTTGCCATGGGGATTCTCTGATGGCAAATAAGGGTTGTGCGCCGGGTGGGGGAGGCAAGGAAAACCCCTCTCCTCTCCGCAGCTGGGCAGGGCTCTCAGACGTGTGCTGGGGACCCTGCACGACTCAGATAAGGCACCACGGTGCCAAGCCCTGCTGTGGTGGGTACACCCAGGGTGGTCCCAGCACCGAGCCCATGCACAGACCTACACCCTGGCCATGCCGGATGGGGGAAGGGAGCAGGGATGAGCCGGGATGGAGATTAATGCGACGGTCACGATTAGTTCAGCGCAGGCAGATTGCCGGCACCCAGAGAAGCTATTTCCTTCCACAGACAAAATGCATTTAAATGATGCTATAATCTGTCGCCGGGAGGGGGACGGGATCGGCGCCTCCGTTCCTTAGCCGTAAACTAATCCTGCCGGGAGAGGGTCTAACCCAGCCTGGGGTGGGTGCCAGGAGGGTGGATCACAGCCCAGCCTGAGCCTCTGTGCTGCAGAGGAACAGAGGGTGGGAAGGGAAGGAGAAGGGAGGAAGGAGATGCATGGACATATGGATGCATGGCTGCTGGCTAGGTAACAAGGAAGAAAGGGTGGATAAGGATAGATGAACCAGCAGAGAGACTGGAGGGTGCATGGATGGACAGATGTAAGGAGATAGGCAGATCAGAAATGGCTGGACAGCAAGAGAATAGCTCTAGGAAGAAGAAGAGGCGAAGGATGGACAGAAGGATGGACAGCACAACAGCTCAGGAGATGGAAGGAAGATGGATGGAAGGAGAAAGGATGGATGGAAGGATGGACAGACAAGCAAAACAGCTCAGGAGACTTCAGTCCCCACACCGCTGTCCCCAGCCCCTGCCCTGGTTTCTAGCAGCCCCTGGGAGGGAAGGGGGCTGCTAGTGTCCCCACCTCTGGCTGGGTTTGGGGGGAGAGAAGGGTTAAGCCCCGGCCATTTGCTCTGCAGCCCACTGCGGTTAGCGGGATTTGCAGCGCCTGACCTGCATTCCCAGGTTTATTAGGCCAGCGTAGAGGGGACCATATGGTCCTTCCACCCTCGCAGCTCAGCACCGCAGAAAAGCAGATCTCCATGCCTGGCCAGGCTCTGACAGGCCTGAGGGCTGCCTGAAACCCCCGGGCTAAGGAGCCACCCCAGCCCCACAGCGGGATGGGACGGGACTAGTGTGTGTCCCCTCCTTCCCACCCCACGGCAGCCCGCAGGGAGCCGGTGTGACCTGCGACCCACAGCGGGGACAGGGGGGAAAAGGGAGATGGAAACACGCAACTGCTGGCGACTGCCTTGCCGAGCCCCCACATCTGCCCAGCCAGATGTGCCCTGTGCCAGCTGCAGCCACGCAGCCAGATGGGCTGAGCCACTCCCCCCGCCCGCGAGAGCACGCAGGGACAGCAGCAGCACCCTCCAGCCATGCCCTAAAATCAAGAAGACCCCCCAGGCCAAGGGGTCTTGCTGCTGCAAAAAGTAGCATCAAAAGCCCCTGCCCATCCTCCTCTCGGCGAGGGCTCCACCGCAGGGTTTCGGTCATCACCGGCCACCCTCTTGCTCCATCCCCCCTGCTTGGGGATGCTGGGGTCAGACAGACTGATGGACACATGGGAAAAGAGGCTGACAGACAGACTGGACGTAGCTATGGCTGGTGGGGGACACCGGCTTGTTTGCCTTCCCTTCTTGCCCCCAAATCCCCAAAGGGGGCACGGGGGAAGCACAGCTCAGCCCCTCCATCCTGCACCCGCTGCAGCCTCACCAGCCCCATCCCTGCTCCCATCCACCATCCCGAGGCCGAAGAGCTGCCTCCTCCTCCTCTTCCCCTTATCCAGCACCGATAGCCAGCGCTGAGCTTCAGCAGCCCCAGCC